AAGTTTTGGGTGGGTTCGGGGGGCACTGGGGGGGTTCACGAGTTTCGGGGTGACTCGGGGGGTCACTGCTGCATGGCGGGGGGTTTCGGGGGGGGTCTCTAACCGCCCCCCCGGCGCAGCCGCGTGGCGGAGCTGCTGTTCCTGCTGGAGCAGCTGCGGGCTCTGGTGCGGCGGCACCTGCGGCTCCTGCGCCGCTACCACCGGCAGTACCTGGCCCGCTTCGACGCCCTCGTGCTCAGCGACGTCATCCAGGTACCCCCGGGGGGGTGGCCCTGTCCCCTGAGCCTCCTGCGGGGCCCTCGCTGTCCCCTGAGCCCGCCGTGTCCCCGCAGAACCTCTCGGTGTGTCCCGAGGAGGAGTCCGTGATCCTCTCGTCCTTCGTCAGCTCCCTCTCGGCTCTCTCGGCCAAGGAAGGTGAGGGTTTGTCCCTTCCCAGCTGGGTTTGTCCCCTCCCAGCTGGGTTTGTCCCCTCCCAGCCCAGGATGTCCCCTGTCAGCTCGGATTGTCCCCTCTCAGCCCGAAATGTCCCCTCACCGTGTTGCCGGTGCCACTCCAGCTCTGTGTCCCCGCTGTCCTGGGAGCTCTGGGACAATCCCGGGCACCCCGAAGGGTGGCGGCTCCCGGGGGTCCCCTGTGGTGGCACTGCCACCCCCAGCCCTGTCCCCATGTCTCTCTGTCCCCGTAGTCGATGACCAGGAGCAGTTTGACTTCACCGCGCTGCGCCTGGACTGGTTCCGGCTCCAGGTGGTGGCACTGTCCCTGTCCCCATGTCCCTGTCCCTCTCCTGTCCCCATCCCTGTCCCTGTCCTGATCTCCACCCTTGTCCCCATCCCTGTGCCAATCCCATTCCTCCCTGTCCCTGCTGTCCTCATCCTTGTCCCCTTGACCCCAGTCCCTGTCCTTGTCCCCATCACTGCCCCCATGTCCCCTGACCCTGTCTCCATGTCCCTGCTGTCCCCATGCCCCCTGTCCCCCTGGCTGTCCCCTGGCTGTCCCCAGGCGTACACCAGCGTGGCCAAGGCCGCGCTGCCGCTGGCCTCCAACGGGGACGTGGGCCGTGCCATGAGCCTGGTGGTGTTCCACACGCGCCTGCTGGACCGGCCCGAGGAGCTGCTGGACGAGACCTCCGACCTGTCCCACCTCTGGTGAGCCCCGCCCTGCCCCTGCACCCCCTTTGCCACCCCTGCACCCCCTTTGCCATCCCTGCACCCCCTTTGCCACCCCTTTTCCACCCCTGTAATCCCTTTTCCCACCCCATATCCCTTTTTTCTGCCCCGTTCCCCTCACCCAATTCCTGCCCCTTTCCCGCTCACCCTGCTGTCCTGTCCCTGTCCCTGTCTCTGTCCCATCTGCAGTTTCCACCCGCAGCCCCTGGAGTGGATGTTCACGGTGTCCCCTGACCCCGCTGTCCTGTCATCTCCACCCTTGTCCCCATCCCTGTGCCAATCCCATTCCTCCCTGTCCCTGCTGTCCTCATCCTTGTCCCCTTGACCCCAGTCCCTGTCCTTGTCCCCATCACTGCCCCCATGTCCCCTGACCCTGTCTCCATGTCCCTGCTGTCCCCATGCCCCCTGTCCCCCTGGCTGTCCCCTGGCTGTCCCCAGGCGTACACCAGCGTGGCCAAGGCCGCGCTGCCGCTGGCCTCCAACGGGGACGTGGGCCGTGCCATGAGCCTGGTGGTGTTCCACACGCGCCTGCTGGACCGGCCCGAGGAGCTGCTGGACGAGACCTCCGACCTGTCCCACCTCTGGTGAGCCCCGCCCTGCCCCTGCACCCCCTTTGCCACCCCTGCACCCCCTTTGCCATCCCTGCACCCCCTTTGCCACCCCTTTTCCACCCCTGTAATCCCTTTTCCCACCCCATATCCCTTTTTTCTGCCCCGTTCCCCTCACCCAATTCCTGCCCCTTTCCCGCTCACCCTGCTGTCCTGTCCCTGTCCCTGTCTCTGTCCCATCTGCAGTTTCCACCCGCAGCCCCTGGAGTGGATGTTCACGGTGTCCCCTGACCCCGCTGTCCTGTCCCTGTCCCCATCCCTGTCCCTGTCCCCATCCCTATCCCTTGTCCCTGTCCCTGTCCCCTCTGCAGTTTCCACCCGCGGCCCCTGGAGCAGGTGTTCGCGGTGTCCCCTGACCCCGCTGTCCTGTCCCTGTCCCCATCCCTGTCCCTGTCCCCTCTGCAGTTTCCACCCACGGCCCCTGGAGCGGATGTTCGCGGTGTCCCCTGACCCTGCTGTCCTGTCCCTGTCCCCTGACCCCGCTGTCCTGTCCCTGTCCCCATCCCTGTCCCTGTCCCCTCTGCAGTTTCCACCCGCGGCCCCTGGAGCGGATGTTCGCGGTGACGCTGGACGAGCCGTCCATGCTGCGCTTCGCCATCGCCTTCCCCCTGCTCTGTGCCCACTTCTCGCGCTGCCTGCACCCCATGTGCCCCGAGGAGGTGGGTGACAGCCGGGGGGTCGGTCCGGGGGGTCCCCCAACCCCATCCCCGGCTCTGAGGGGTGCCGTGTCCCCCCCAGTACCCCCAGCTGGAGGCGGCGGCGCTGGGGCTGTGCCACAAGTTCCTGGAGGAGCTGGCGCGGGTGGGCAGCGGCTGCGTCCTGGATGCCTGCGCCGAGCAGCACAACCTCAGCCAGCAGGTCTGGGGGGCTCTGGGACCTTTGGGGGGCTTGGGGGAGTCTGGGGGGTCTGGGACCTTTGGAGGGATTGGTGACCCTTGGGACGCTCAGGACGTTTGGAGTCCTGGTGACCGTCGGGGGTTCCAGGACCTTTGGAGCCTCCAGGACTTTTGAGGTCTTCAGGATCTTTGGGGTCTTGGTGGACTTTGGGGTCTTGGTGGCCTTTGGGGGTCCAGGACCTTTGGGGGCTCCAGCATCTTTGGGGGTTCAATGGCCTTTGGGGTCTTCGCACCTTCAGGATCCCTCTGGCTTTTGGGGTCTCCGTCAGCTTGAGGATCTCTGTGGCCTTTGGGGTCTCTGTGGCCATTGCGGTCTCCGTGGCCTCTCTGTCCCCTCGTCCCCCTGTCCCCACCAAACCCTCGGGGTGGGGAAGTTCCTCCATGGGGACCAAACCTGGCAGGGCATCCCCGACCCAGCCCCGGGGGACGGCGGCCTGTGGTCATGGTGGCCCCGTTTGGGGTGTCCCCATGTCCCCACGACCCTGTCCCCATGTCCCCACGACCCTGTCCCCGCCCTGCAGCTGCTGCCCAAGCACTGTGCGGCCACCATCAGCAGAGCCCGCGTCAAGAAAACCCCAAAGCAGCCGCCCCGCAAGGGGGACCCCCAAAGGGACAAACCGGGGACAGAGAGCCAGCGGCGCGACCGGACCCTGACCACCAAGTGAGTGCCACCCAGGGGAGGGATTGTCCCCACGGGGTCACGGTTCTGGGGACTTTGGTGGTCTCCAGAACCTCTGGGGCTCAGTGGCTTTTGGGGGCCCCAGGACCTTTGGGGGCTTGGTGGCCTTTGGGGTCTTGGTGGCCTTTGGGGTCTCCAGAACCTCCGGGGGCTTGGTGGCCTTTGGGGACTTCAGGAGCTCATCTGCAGCTACCAGAGGTTGGGTGTGGCATGGGGACAAGGTATGGTTGTCCCCATGGGACACGGATTGTCCCCATGGGGTCACACCATGATTGTCCCCATGGGGTCATACTGTGATTGTCCCCATGGGGTCACACCATGATTGTCCCCACGGGGTTACACCGTGATTGTCCCCATGGGGTCACACCGTGACTGTCCCCCAGCATGGACAAGCTGCACCTGACCCTGGCCGAGCTGTCCCTGAGCCTCAACCACGTCCCCAACTTCACCGTCTTTGGGCACACGGTGACACCGGCCGAGTACCTGAGCAGCCACCTGGAGACGCGCCTGACCAGGTGGGGACATGCCGAGGACACACGGGGCAGAGGGGACACACGGCGCGTCCCTCACCGCCCCCGTGTCCCCGCAGGGCCATCGTGGCCATGGCTGGCTACAGCCAGGCCACGCAGGAGGTGGCCCGTCCCTCGGAGGTGCTGGCCGGGCTGGTGGCCTACATGGGGCTGGTGCAGCGGCTGGGACAGTTGGTGGCCCTGGACACGGGGCGGCTGCTGCGCGCTGTCCTGCTGCAGCAGAGCCACCCCCGCGATGCCACCGGGCAGCCCACGCTGACCGCCATCTACACCGACTGGTCAGTGCCACCACGGGCTTGGGGACACAGGGACGGGGTGTCAGGGTCACCGTGGGGGTGGGGGACATGGGAAGGGGTGGTCAGGGTCACCACGGCGGGGGACACAGGGATGGGGTGGTGGCAGCAGGGACATGGGGATGGGAGTGGTGGTGGCAGCTCGTGGGTGACAGTGCTGTGGGTGGCATTGACTTGGGTCCCCATGCCATGGGTGACACTGCCGTGGGTGACAGTGCCGTGGGTGACATTGCCCAGGGTGACATTGCCCAGGGTGACAGTGCCCAGGGTGACAGTGCCATGGGTGACATTGCCATAAGTGGCACTGCTGTGGGTGAGAGTGCCCAGGGTGACACTGCTGTGGGTGACAGGGCCCAGGGTGACAGTGCCCAGGGTGACAGTGCCCAGGGTGACAGGGCCGTGTCCCCCAGGTACCTGGAGGCGCTGCTGCGCCAGGCCAGCACGGGCGCCGTGCTGCTGTCCCCGGCCCTGCAGGCCTTCACCACGGTGCCCCGCGAGGAGCAGCCCCCGTTCAGCGCCGCCGAGTTCTCCGACATCTCAGGTGGGCTGGGGGGCTCGGGGGGGGGGGCTGGCTGTCACCCCCTGTCCCCCAGGGTCCCCACCTGTCCCCTCCCGCAGAGATGCGGGCGCTGGCCGAGCTCATCGGGCCCTACGGGATGAGGTTCCTGAGCGAGAACCTGATGTGGCACGTGGGCTCGCAGGTGACCGAGCTGAAGGTACGGGGACGGGGACAGGGGATGGGGACAGGGGATGGGGACAGGGGCTGGGGACAGGGGACAGGGGCTGGGGACAGAGACAGGGAACAGGGGCTGGGGACAGGGACAGGGAACAGGGAATGGGGACAAGGGATGGGGACAGGGGCTGGGGACAGGGACAGGAGGCGGGGACAGGCTGGTGCTGCTGGCACCATGACAGGGCAGGCAGGGTCACCCCAGCGCCACCCCAACCCTGTCCCTGCCCAGTGGGAGGGTTGGAGGCGCCAGGTCCCCCAGTGTCCCTCAGTGTCCCCCAGTGTCCCCCAGTGTCCCCCGTGTCCCCGTGTCCCCGCAGAAGCTGGTGGCTGAGAACATGGACACGCTGGTGCAGCTGCGCTGCTGCAGGGCCGAGCAGAGGCCGGCGCTGCTGCCCCGCCTGAGCTGTGAGTGCACACGGGGTGGCACACGGGGTGGCACAGAGGTGGCACAGGGGGTGGCACATGGGGTGGCATGCGGGGGTGGCACGCGGGAGTGGCACGCGGGGGGGCACGGGGGGGTGGCACAGGGGGTGTCCCAGGGGGGGCACACGGAGTGGCACACGGGGTGGCACGCGGGGTGGCAGAGGGGATGGCACACATGTCACCCGGCTGTCCCCCACGTGTCCCCGCAGCGGCCGAGAACGTCCTGAAGCGCATGACCATCATCGGGGAGATCCTGAGCTTCCGCGCCATGGCCCAGCAGGGCCTCAGGGAGGTGGGACCCCCCGGGACACCCCCAGACCCTGGGAACCCTCTGGGACCCCCAGGGACACCCCCAGACCCTGAGAACCCCCCGGGACACCCCCAGACCCTGGGAACCCTCTGGGACCCCCCGGGACTCCCCCAGAACCTGGGAACCCCTGGGACACCCCAGCCTCTTCATCTGGGGACCCAGGACGCCCGTTTGGGGCCCAGGACCCCCATTTAGGGACATGGGACCCCCATTTGAGGACCCAGGACCCCCATCTGGGGACCCAGTCCCCCCATTTGGGGGCCAGGACCCCCCTGACCCCCCTTTGGGGACCCAGTCCCCCCGTTTGGGGCCCAGGCCCCCCCTGACCCCCTGCCCCCCCCAGGTGTTCTCCCAGCACTGCCCCTTCCTGATGGGCCCCATCGAGTGCCTGGCGGACGTGGTGACCCCCGACACCGACATCCAGGTGGGGACAGGGACACGGGGGGGCCGGGGGGCGGGGCCCGGCCGCGCGACACCGCGTGACACCCCGCGTGTCCCCTGTCCCCGTGTCCCCAGGTCACCCTGAGCATCTTCGAGCTGGCCTCGGCCGCGGGGGTCCCGTGCGAGGTGGACCCGGCGCTGGTCACTGCCCTGGCCGGCCACAGGACAGGTGCGGGGGGCTCTGGGGACCCCGCGGGTGGCGCTGGCACCCGGCCGGCGCTGTCACCGCGCTGTCCCCTGCTCCGCAGAGGGCTCGTCCCCCGAGGAGGATTACAAGGTGTCCTGCCTGCTCCTGGTGTTCGTGGCCGTGTCCCTGCCCCTGCTGGCCGCTGACCCCGCGTCCCTCTACAACCCCGAGCTGGACGGTGAGGGTGGCCCCGTGTCCCCTGTGTCCCTGTGTCCCTTGTCCCCGTGTCCCTGTGTCCCTGTGTTCCCGTGTCCCTGTGTCCCTGTGTCCCTTGTCCTTGTGTCCCTTGTCCCCATGTCCCCTGTCCTTGTGTCCCTGTGTCCCTTGTCCCCATGTCCCCTGTGTCCCCACCTGTGTCCCTTGTCCCTGTGTCCTCGTGTCCCCATGTCTCTGTGTGTGTCCCTCTATGTGTCCCCATGTCCCTGTGTCCCTTGTCCCTGTGTCCTCGTGTCCCCATGTCCCTGTGTGTGTCCCCTGTCCCCGTGTCCCCATGCTGGCGGTTCTCCCTGTCCCATTGTCACAGCAGAGGGTTTGGGGGCACAGGAGGACGCTGGGTCTGTCACCAAGGGAGGTGGCACTGTGGACACTCTGGGTTGTCCCTGTCCCCCCTGTGTCCCCAGCCCTCCTCTGTTCCCAACCCCTTCCCATGTCCCCAACCTTCCCCAGTCCCCAGACTTCCCGTGCCCCCACATTTATTCACTCCCCACCCGTGTCCCCCCGTGTCCCCCGGTGTCCCCCGGTGTCCCCAGGCCACAACAACAACCTGCACTGCCTGGCCAAGGCCATCGTGCAGCTCTCGGCCGCGCTCTTCACCGTGCACAGCAAGAACATCGAGACGCACCTCAAGGAGTTCCTGCTGGTGAGCTGGCCTGTCCCCGGGGCTGCCACTGTCCCCGGGGCTGCCACTGTCCCCTGGGGCTGGCCCTGTCCCCCCCCGGGGCTGCCACTGTCCCCTCGGGCTGCCACTGTCCCCCCTGGGGCTGGCACTGTCCCCTCCCCGGGGCTGCCACTGTCCCCTCCCCGGGGCTGCCACTGTCCCCTGGGGCTGGCCCTGTCCCCCCCGGGGCTGCCACTGTCCCCGGGGCTGGCCCTGTCCCCTCTGGGCTGCCACTGTCCCCTGGGGCTGGCCCTGTCCCCCCCGGGGCTGCCACTGTCCCCTCCCCGGGGCTGCCACTGTCCCCTGGGGCTGGCCCTGTCCCCCCCGGGGCTGCCACTGTCCCCGGGGCTGGCCCTGTCCCCTCTGGGCTGCCACTGTCCCCTTGGGCTGGCCCTGTCCCTTCCCCTGCGGGCTGGCCCTGTCCCCTGTGGGCTGGCGCTGTCCCCTGGGGCTGGCCCTGTCCCCTCGGGCTCCCATTGTCCCCTGGGGCTGGCACTGTCCCCTCCGGGCTGGCACTGTCCCTTCCCTGGGGCTGGCAATATCCCTTCCAGACTGGCACTGTCCCCTCCCTCGGGCTGGCCCTGTCCCCTCCTGAGGCTGGCCCTGTCCTTGTCCCCTCCCCGGAGCTGGCCCTGTCCCCGTGGGCTCCTTGACCCTGGCCCTGACCCTGTCCCCGCTGTCACTGACTGTCGCTGTCGCTGTCCCCTGTGTCCCTGTGGCTGTCCCCGCTGGCGCTGTCCCTGTGTCTGTCCCTGCTGTCCCCTGTGTCCCTGTGGCTGTCCTCGCTGTCCCCTGTGTCCCCAGCTGGCCTCCAGCAGTCTCCTGCAGCTGGCCCAGGAGCCGGACAAGGCGCGGGCGCGGAACCAGGACTCGATCGTGCTGCTGCTGCACCTGGTGGGGACACTGGGGACACCTGGGGGACACTGGGGACACTGGGGACACCTGGGGGACACCTGGGGGGAGGGCTCTGGGGTGGCCCTGGGAAGTTCCTGATGTCCCCTGGGTGGTTCCTGATGTCCCTTGGGTTGGGCTCAGGGGTCTCCCTGGGTGGGCTCTGGGGTCCTGATGTCCCCTGGGCGGTTCCCGATGTCCCCAGGCCATCCCGATGTCCCCCAGCTGTGCCCTGCTGTCCCACCCGGGTGGGCTCAGGGATGTCCCCGAGTGTTCCCCAGCCCCCTCCCCAATACCGGCCGTGCCCGGGGGGGTCTCATCCCCCCCAGACCCCCCTGGAAGCGGCCGGGGGGGATCACACACCCACCCCCCCCTCCCCCGGGATTCATTCCGGGAGCGATTTAAAGGCAAATATTTCAAATATTTCAAATATTTCAACCTGAGGCGGGCCGGGGGAGCCGCGGGGGGGGGTCGGCAGGAGTGGGGAGGGGGTGCTGATGGGTGCCCCCCCCCAAAGATCGTGGCCGAATCGTCCTTCCTGACGCTGGACATGCTGGAGAGCTGCTTCCCCTACGTGCTGCTGCGCAACGCCTTCCGCCAGGTGTGCCGGGACCCCCCCGGCCGCGCCCCCCCGCACTGACCGCGACCCCCCAGGGACCCCCCGTACTGACCCGGGTGTTCAGGACGCGGCGCCCCCCCCGAGCTCCCATCGCGATTTTGCCCCGCGTCGAACCCTCTCCGTCCCGGCGGGGCCGTGCCTCAGTTTCCCTCCTCCCGCTCGCCCCCGGGGCCGTTTCCAGTCACGTTCCGCGCTCTCCTCGAGCCCCCCCACGCCCCCCCCGGGGGTTTTTTTGTTTTTTTTTCCCCTCTCTTTTTTTGTTTTTTCTTCCCCCCTCCCCATCTCCGCGTGTTTCGGTTTCCCTCCGGTGCGGTTTCTCGGGGGAGAACCCGCGGGGCGCAGGCGGCCGCGGCCGTTGCCATTCCGCGCACGGCGGCTGCTCCGGGATGAGTCCCCGGCAGCGGCGACAGCGCCCGCCGAGCCCCCCCGAGGACCCCCCCAGACCGAGACCCCCGCCAAAAAAAAATCCAGGCTGGGGGGCGCAGAGAAAGGTCCGGCAAAAATCGCGTTAAAACCAAAAAAACCCCCCATAAACAAAAAAAAAAAAAACAAACCCAAAAAATCCAAACCAACCCCCCCCTCCCGAGCAGCGGGAGGCGCGGAGCGACCCCGGAGCGACCCCCGCCCCCTCCGCGCTCCCGAGGGGCTCGGCCGCCCCCTCCCCGCTCCCGGCACGGATTTTATTCCCGGTTTATTTCGGGCTCGTCAATCACGAACCCACCCCAAAACCCCTGAAAGTTCCGCGAGGCGAAAGGGAAGGTTCGGGGTTTTTATAAACCCAAAATTCCACCGGGGAGCCCCAAAAGGAGCCAGGGAGGCTGGGGGGGGGGACCCGGCTGGGGACCCCCACCCAAAATGAGGTGGAGGAGCCCAAAAGGAGCAGCTAGGGGAGCCCAAAACCGAATCTGGGGCCCCGGGATTGGTTTGAGGATCCCCAAAATGAGTTGGAGACCCCCCAAGGTCACTTTGAGGGTCCCCAAATCAGTTTGAGGAGCCCCAAATGGGTTTGAGACCCCCAAAATGAGTTTGGGACCCCTGAAATCAGTTTGAGGATTCCCAAATCAGTTTGAGACCCTCAAAATCACTTTGAGGACCCCCTGGTTTATCTGAGGACCCTAAAATGAGTTTGAGACCCCTAAAACCTGTTCAAGGATCCCCAGATGGGTTTGAGACCCCCCAAAATCAGTTTGAGACCCCCAAAATGAGTTTGAGAACCCTAAAATCAGTTCGAGAGACCCCAAATGAGATTGAGGACCCCCAAAATCAGTCTAAGCACCCCCAAAATCCCTTCGAAGCCCCCAAAATGGGTGGGAGGACCCCCCAGGAGGGGCTGGAGGAGCCCAAATTTGGGGTTTCGACCACCGAGGTGTCCCCGGTGGGGTCCGAGAGCCCCTCACCCCATCCGGGGGGGCTCAACCCGGGGGGGGTCCCGCGGCTGCAATTCCGGGGACCCCCAGGGAGGGGAGGGAGCGCCCCCCCCCCCATTTTGGTGGGGTGAAACAGAGGGACCCCCTCCCCAAGAATCACC